TCTGCACCCCGCAGCCCTGTCCAGCCTGGACGGAGACCTGTCCGGCAGGTACTACGCGCTCAAGAGCATGACCGAGGCCGAGCAGCAGCAGCTCATTGACGACCACTTCCTCTTCGACAAGCCCGTGTCGCCGCTGCTGCTGGCCTCTGGCATGGCCCGCGACTGGCCGGATGCTCGCGGCATATGGTACGAGCCCTCCCCGCCTCAGCCCTCGGAGGGTGGGGTCAGGCCGGCGCTCCTGGTCCCCTGCCGCGTCAGCCTGTCCCAGCCCTCGGCAGGTGACCTTGGTCCCGCAGGTGTGACATGCCTGCGCTGCGGGAGGCCGCAGTCTCCAGGGACTCAAGGGTGGGGACCGGTCTCCCGGGAGCCGGCGCTTCTTGTTTTCTCTGCTCCTTCTCACTCCCGACCCGCAGGGACTCTGCCAGGCGCCGGTGACGCAAAAGCCTCCGCACCCGTCCCTCCGTCCCCGCTGGGCTCCTACCCCTGCGGACTGTGAGGGCGGAGGTGTGGAGGTGTGCTTCCTCCGCTGGGGTGGGCTGCTCCCCTGCTCAGCCCCTTGCAGCCACACACCGCGCGATTGGTGACTGGGGTGTGTGAGTGAGTGTGAGATTGATTGGTGACTGGGGTGTGCGTGTGAGTGTGAGATTGATTGGTGACTGGGGTGTGCGTGTGAGTGTGAGATTGATTGGTGACTGGGGTGTGCGTGTGAGTGTGAGATTGATTGGTGACTGGGGTGTGCGTGTGAGTGTGAGATTGATTGGTGACTGGGGTGTGCGTGTGAGTGTGAGATTGATTGGTGACTGGGGTGTGCGTGTGAGTGTGAGATTGATTGGTGACTGGGGTGTGCGTGTGAGTGTGAGATTGATTGGTGACTGGGGTGTGTGAGTGAGTGTGAGATTGATTGGTGACTGGGGTGTGAGTGTGAGATTGATTGGTGACTGGGGTGTGTGTGTGTGTGTGGTTCCCCGCTCGCCCTGCCTTCCTCCAGTGTGGGCTTACTTGGGAGTGAGTCTTGTGACAGCCACACTCGCTAGAATAAGCACCTCCATGACTTGGGAAGCTCTTTGTTTGAGGTCACCTACCTACGGTGTCTTTGGGTGAGATCTAAGACCGTACTGGGGGGGGGGAGCGCTTTGGCTTGACTGTACCCCTCCCCTAGGCACAATGATAACAAGACTTTCCTGGTGTGGATCAACGAGGAGGACCACCTGCGGGTCATCTCCATGCAGAAGGGGGGCAACATGAAGGAAGTGTTCACCCGATTCTGCACTGGCCTCACCCAGGTCACTCTGAGGGCTTGGTGCCGGGGAGGGGTCGGGGCAGATCCCAGAGTCCACGTCTCCCTCCCGGGGTCCCTGAGGGCTTCCAGCCAGGCTTCCCTCCGAACTCTGCCTTCTCCACCTCCAGATCGAAAATCTCTTCAAGTCTAAGAACTACGAGTTCATGTGGAACCCTCACCTGGGCTACATCCTCACGTGCCCATCCAACCTGGGCACCGGGCTGCGGGCCGGCGTGCACATCAAGCTGCCCCACCTGGGCAAGCACGAGAAGTTCTCGGAGGTGCTCAAGCGGCTGCGGCTTCAGAAGCGAGGCACAGGTGAGGGGCCGTCGTCACAGGTGCGGGCAGAAGGTTCGGGTTTCCTCAGTCCTGCCCACCTGCCTGTCCTCTGTCCCCCCAGGTGGTGTGGACACCGCCGCAGTCGGCGGAGTTTTCGACGTCTCCAACTCGGACCGCCTGGGCTTCTCGGAGGTGGAGCTGGTGCAAATGGTGGTGGACGGAGTGAAACTGCTTATTGAGATGGAACAGCGGCTCGAGCAGGGTCAGGCTATCGATGACCTCATGCCTGCCCAGAAGTGAAGCCTGGCCCTCGCCACCACCAGCCCGCCGCTTCCTAACTTAATACCCGGGCAGCGCCCGCCATGCATCCCTGATGTTTGCCGCCTGGCGGCCGAGCCCTTAGCCTCGCTGTAGAGACTTGTCGCCCTGGGTAGAGTTTATTTTTTTGATGGCTAAGCTGTTGCTGACACTGAAATAAACTAGGGTTTGGCCTGCCCTGAGTTGTGCCTCTACTTTCCTAGGGACAGTGATGCGGGTGTGTGGCTTGGCCGTTAGTGTCAACTAAAGATGGCATATATTAGGTGTATATGGTGGGGAAGGAGGGAGGGGCTCTCAAGGCTCTCCATTCCAGCCTGAGCATCTAAGGACACTCGTGCTTGCAGGGTGGAGCCTAGTGTTTCCTCAGCTCCAGTCAGAGGGAGGGAGTCAGAAACTTGACACACTCCCAGGTCCTTTCTGCTGTCTTCACCGCAGCCTGAGGATTATAGTTCCACCCCTGCTTCCTCTCCCCTCCAGGCCCATCCCTCTCCACCTACTCCAGCTCCCAAATAACCCTTTCTCCCCCTGCCTCCTAAAGCTTCCATCCTCCACTTGGTCCCTAGGCCCAGCCCTCCAGCTCCATCCAGATTGCAGCAGGGTCCTCCCAGTCTAGTTCCTTCCATTTGCAGCTTGCTCTCCAGGGCCCTGGTGGTTGGGAGGAGGCCGCCCTCTCCCTGCTCCCACTCATCCAGTTTTTGTGCCACGTCATCTAGGAGACAGGATAGAGACTCTGCTGTGACCTATCCATGCGCAAGTCAAGGGAAAGGGATTCCAAGGCTCTCATCAGGGGCCCTGGGCCGTCTAAAGAGACATCTTCCTGGTGGCTTACCCAGCCGGGCCCCTTGAACAGATCTGGCCCACATTTGAAAGCTGAGAAAGGACCACGTCAACCCAGGGGCTGGAACTACAGTTCCCCACCCCCACAGTGCCTCTTCCAAGACGTTAGTCTTGTGCTGCCACCTACTGGTCATGGGCATGACATGCTTGCTCACTAAAGATCTTGGACATTAGGACATGGCCACCTCAGACTCCAGGCCCAGAACCAGTAGGCTGGAAGGCAGCATTGAGCTGTGAGCTACAGAAGTGTGTCCCAGCTGCTTCTGTAGCCAGGTTCCAGCTATGGTCTCATCTAGGTGGTGTGCAGGCTGGGGAGGGCCCTCGTGTGGAGCATGACCTCTGGAGTACTTAATGTCAGAATCGGAAGGGCATCCACCTCATTGGATAGGCTGCGCGCAGGACAGCGCCAGTCCCCTGAAAGTGCAGAGGGCCCGGGATCTCTGCATGCCTCCTTAGTGTCCAGGGATAGCACTCCTCTCCTTGGATGCCCTAATTAGTTCCCAGCTAGCACTTTTGTCAGGAAAGCCTGGGCCCCAGACTAGACTAGGATGGGGGCTGGCGCAGCTGCACTGTAGACTTCAGTTTGGTGACAAACAGCAGCCTTGGAAGCATCTCCATGTTTTTGACAGGGAAGGATGCAGGCAATAAGATAGGGACAGTAGGCACAAGGGGACATGTATGGCCCAAACTCTCCATGTCTGCTGCTACACCCTGAAAACCAGAATGACGAGGTGAAACACAGTGCCCTGCAATGAGGTCTATCTCCCCATAACTACGTAGCCCAGGCCTATGAATTTCCCAAATGGAACACTCACTGACTGCCCTTCCTCCTGCACCTTGAGCCCAGCAGGTTCTCCTGTTGGTTGAAGCCCCTTATCACCAGCAGGGTTAGGGCCAATTACCTCGACTGTGGCTGGGATGAGACAGACCCCACTACACTGGAAGTGGGCACAGCCCTGAGCATCTTTCTCCCCTACCAAACCCTGAGGATGCAGAGGGCTGCAGCCAGAAACCTGACTCGTCTAGGCAGGCCTCACCACATTCCTGGTGCTTGTATCCCGGCTGTGCTGCGACTTCCACTGTAAGCGGCACTGGAGCTGGGGCCCAAACAGGGTTTGTATATTCACCACTCGGATGGCTCCTCCTGCCTGCGCTCACCACACCTATGGGACTTCTTCCCAAACCCACACAGCCTTCCTCTTCCTCTGGATCTGAGATTCAAATGAAGTCGCTGGGCTTGGCTTCCCCCTGCTGGGGTGGATGGAACCTGGGGGTGGGTGTGGAGAGGAAGGCGCTGTGCTCCTAGGCAGCAGGGGTGGAGGCACAGCTCCCCAGGGCACCCTGGTCACGATGCCCATCCCACACACCTGGGAACACCCTGATTTCTTGCCAGAAACAGCCAGAGAAGGATTTCAAGTTGGAGCCACCAACACTGCTTGGGGTAGGGGTAGTCCTTTGATGGCGTGAGTGCTCTGTCCACTGAGACATCTTTAAGTGGGGTTCCTGACATCTAGCCTCCCTCTCCCCCATGTTACTAGAACCCCCCAGACCCCACCTTGGTGCTGGTAGAATTTCTAGACATGGGCCCAGGAAGACTGCGATCCTACAGAAATAACTAGGAAAGAACTGGTCAGGGCTGTTTACCTGCAAAAACAAACAAATAAACAAACAAAAAACAAAAATCAAAACCAAACACACACATACACACACACAAACCCTCAGCCAACCCCACCCCTCCTACTTCATGCAGGCAAACTCCACACTGCTGTATAGACAGGCTGTGGAAGCAGAGAAGCAAGCACGGGTTATAAAACAGCTCGTACTGAGATCCCACACAGATTATGTATGGAAAAACCCCCAGAACAGTCGTCGGCTGTGGGTGGTGGGGAAACAGGTGATTTCCTTCTTTATACTTCTTTTTCCAGATTCCCTCCAGCTAACATGTATTGCTTATATAAGGCAATGCTTTTTGCCCTGTTGAGGGTCAAACTCAGGGCTTTGCACATGCTAGCTAAGTGCTCTGTCACTGCGCTATGTCCCCAGCCCTCTTTATGTCTGAGATGACTTTGAACTTTTGATCCTCCTGCCCCCACGGACCAGTGGCTGTGGGGGCTTTGCACTAGTTAGTATTCTGCTGACTGAGCTAAGCCCCAGCTCTGCCCCAGTAAAATTGGGAATGTTTTTCTTTTCTTTTCTTCTATTTATAAATTTTAAGAATTTAGTGTGTCACAGTTGGTGGAACCCTCCCCTGATGGGGAAACTGAGGCTCAGAAAAGCCTAAGTTTAGGTGGAGTGGGGCTCAGGTTAGCCTAGTTAGGGGCTTACTTTCCTTACTTTCCCTGCTCTTTAACTCTTAGGGCTTTCAGGACTCCTCAGGGGTGGGTCCTGCTCCTCCCAGTAGTTTAGAAGGCTGCAATTGCCCAGTCCCTTACACTGCACTTTTCTGACCCAGCCTGGTACTTAACAAGCCTCCCAGATGCCCAAGGCAGCTACACATTGTACTCACGGGGTTTCAACTTAAATCTGTCTTCTGCCAGCAAAAAGAGAAGCCACCCGACGAGTGGGAGACAGCCCAAGAAGCAAGGCTTTTTTACCAGGAGGCTGGGTCCCACGTCTGAGTCAGGCAACTTCCCGCCTCATTTTAACACTGCTTTCTGCTTTGCTGAGGACACAGAGCAAGGGCTTTGGCTGGGGCTCAGAAGCCCTGAGTTATATGCCTTGTCAGATACTGTCTCCACTTAAAAGCTGAACAGTAGCTGGGTGTGGTGGCACACACCTTTAGTCACAGCACTAGGGAGGCAGGTCTGTGTTTGAGGCCAGTCTGGTCTACACAGTGAGTTCCAGGCCAGCCAGGACTCTAAGTACTCATGGCTTATGGTCGGTCCCCTGGTAGCCACAAAGTTTTGGTCTTTAGGTTGGCTAGGACTAAGCTAAGATTGACATTTAAGCAGCCACCTTGGGATGTGAATAAGGCACATGGCAGGCCGGAACCTTGTGTTAGTGCCACCCTAGTCACTAGGTCCTAGTGGAAACTTGTGAGGTGCTCAAATCACTCCTGGAAAAAGAGATCAACTGGGACTGTGGTCCAAGGCTCGAAAAGGCAGCTTCAGCACAGAGCAGGGCTGCCTGGAGGTCACTGGGGTTGGAATGTGGGTGGAATGAAGACCGACCTGGCTCTGGGTGGCCTGGAGGCCTGTCCACACTTAGATGACTCATTAGATTGGTCCGATGGTGTCAGGGTCTGTTTGGTGGCTTTGTGTCTAGCTCACCACAAGGCTCCATTTTGCATAGTCTACAATGCCTATACAAGCAAAGGGGGTCCCTGCTCCAGTGGACTCTGGGCCTGGTTCACTTTCTCCTTAGCCTGTGTTCTTGGTCATTTCTTCATCCTGGTGCTGACAAGCAGTGTGCTCACCACACCAAGCTTGTTCCATTTAAAATAAAGTCTAGTTCAGAAAACAGACCTTGACCACTCACTAGCCCTGTGAATATGGAAGGGGCTCGGATGGACCAGATGGTCAGACATAAACGTAGCTCATCCCATCCAGACCTGGACTTGTGGGCTCTGGCCTGACAGGGACCAACTGTGCTGCTGCCTGGGCCAGAGGCCTCACCTCTTCCTTAGTCCTGGAGAGAGAAAGGAGGGACCAGGTACTGCTTTTCTCTGGCCTCCAGTCAAGGATGACAAGACTTCTTTAGCAGAGTCCCAGTGTTTGCTTAAGCTCATTAGTGACATCTCATTCCATAATGCAACCCTGCAAAAGGTGTGGGTCACTTACTGGGACCAGAGAAAAGGATGAGCAGTGTGGCTGCTATGGGTGACAGAAAGGGGTCCCTAGGACTCACGGGTTGGGGGGAGCGGTGTGGCTAGTGGGCTGGGGCTCAACCCTGGGAGAGCTGAGCTGTGTGTACAGGAGTCTGGCCTGTAAGAGGGTGGGGAGTGGCAGGGTAGTCTGGATTGGGGCCTCCTGAGGTTGGAAGGGCCGCTTTGAGGCTCCTCTACCCAGGACTTCTGGTACTGTGCCAATGAAAATGACTATCTGCTACTTCCACGACTGCTTTGAGAATGTGTCTGCACGGCCCACGCCTGCTGGCAGCTCTCTTGAGGAGGCAAGCCAGTGCAGATCTTGTTCTAGAAGGCGTGGCAGAGTCAGGCTGCATGTCAGGCCTTTCCTCCAGATCCCTGGAGCCAGTCAACCCCTACAGTGGGGTCTGTCTTGGTCTGGGAACGGCATAAGGCATACGTATTCCCCAAGGAGCTAGGTCACTCCCTGCTGAAGTACTAAGGACAGAATACCCTAAGAGAAGTGCATTGTCTCAGACATACCTAACTGGGAACTTGCTG